TACATTAAGCCAAACCGGAAGTGGCCAAAGTGGAAGTGGCCAAAGCAAAAGTGGTCAAAGCAGAAGTGGTGAAAAAATGGAATTACATTAAGCCAAGGCAGAAGTGGCCAAAGTGGAAGTGGTGAAAAAATTGAATTACATTCAGCCAAACCGAAAGTAGCCAAAGTGGAAGTGGCCAAAGCAGAAGTGGTGAAAAAATGGAATTACATTAAGCCAAACTGGAAGTAGCCAAAGCAGAAGTGGTGAAAAAATTGAATTACATTCAGCCAAACTGGAAGTAGCCAAACTGGAAGTGGCCAAAGCAGAAGTGGCCAAAGCAGAAGTGGTTAAAATAAATGGAATTACATTAAGCCAAACTGGAAGTAGCGAAAGTGGAAGTGGTGAATTTTTTTTTTACATTAAGCCAAAATGGAAGTGGCCAAAGTGGAAGTGATGAAAAAACTGAATTACACTAAGCCAAAGCGGAAGTGGACAAAGCGGAAGTGGTGAAAAAAACGGAATTACATTAAGCCAAAGCGGAAGTGGTGATCCTGCCGAGTTTTTTCAACGTCATATCTTCATCTATAAGTTTGAACAAAGCATTCCACTTGAAATATAAAAATCAAGATCAAATGAGGTCGCGGGGCATTTTACAAATCTTTGGGTTTTGATGTGGGGATAAAGTGAAAAATAAAAAAAAAGCATAGATGTATTGTGTTTTTTGAAACCCTCATGAAAATGAATGATGAAATAACATTTTTTGTTGTTTTTTTAATTCTCAATTAAAAAACAACTTAACGAATGGTACATGGACCCCACACCCTTCACGAGAGTTTATTTGTATCAACATCTATCTTCTGTTTTATGTTGTTAATAAAGTTTTTAAAAAAAACCACACACACACAAAAAAAATCTCCACCACTTCTGTTTTGGCTTCAATGCAATTTTCTGGGTTTTTCCACCACTTCTGCTTTGGCCACTTCCACTTTGGCTTAACGTAAATCTGTTTTTTCAAATGTTCTTGTGTTTTACTTGTGTTTTTTCAAATGCAATTTTGTTTTTTGAAATGTAGTTCTGTTTTTGTTTTTTCAAATGTTGTTCATTTACACCTCAGGGTCACCGTACTTTGTATCACGTTTTATCATCCACGGTTCAGTCGGAGCGCTCTGATTGGCTGAATCCATCACAGAGAAGCGGGATGTCCCCAGTTGTGGACGAGACAGCGGGGGACCTCCCAGTCAGAGATGTGGGTCTGATGAAAAGAGCCCTGATGCCGGCTGCTCCAGGTATGTCTCCTCCGATAAATGTCACTTCTTGAACTGCATTAGCGTGAATGCTTTTGAAATTCGGAATTCAAAAAAGTTCCAGAAAAAAACAACTGGACTTTATGTAACAGATGTTTTGCTTCTCATCCAAGGAGCTTTTTTAATTCAAAGAACAGAGAGTGTGGGGCTCGAGTTATAAAGCTGAGTTAAGAGATAAACAATATGCAGATTGCACTATCAGTCCTCACACTAGTGGTTCGTTAGGGTCTTTGTTAGTCTGATAGTAGAGCCACTCTGGTCACATGGATGAAATTCCTGACAAGTGTGAAAATGACTGGATTAGGACTAAAGCTGCATTATACATTTCTGAAAGTTGAAATCTGAGACCTCCTCCTCTGTTTAAAGATGGTTTCTCTCGTTTTACATAAATAGCTTCCTTCACCAAATTGTTTTTTGTCTTGAACTTTTTTGAATTTAACGTGACTTGGATGACTGAGAATCTTCACCAATATTTCAAAATTCTGGTTACCGTACTTTTCGGACTATAAGGCGCACCTAAAATACTTTAATTTTCTCAAAAATCGACAGTGAGATTTATAATCTGGTGCGCTTTATGTATTAATTCTGGTTGTGCTTACTGACCTCGAACCAATTTTATGTGGTACACGGCGCTCAAAAATATGTCAAAATCAACTTGTTCCGCTTAACGCACCTTATAATCCTGTGCGCCTTATAGTCCAAAAAATACAATAGTTGTCTCGTCTATTTCATGCTTTTAAGCACTTTGGTAACAGTTTCTGTTTTAAATGTGCTCTATAAATAAATCTGACTTGACTTGACTTGACTTTTCTTATTGTTAAAAGTCATGCAATCCTTTTAACTTACATCCAAAATATGTCAGTTGGCGTAATAATGTCAAGATTTGATTTAATTAATGTTGTTATTGCATTCTATTCTAAATCCTAGAGAAATATATGCATATTTTATTGATGTTTTTTTTTTTACTAAATAAGAATATTAAATTTTTTACATAATCTAAAATAAAAATAAAACAATCTTCGGTAGCACTTTACAACAAGGCTCCCCTTATAGATGGCTAATAAATAGTAAATAGTTTATAGATGTGTTATTAATACCTCAATAAACACTTTACAACTCATTAATAACTGCTCATTATGCATTATTAAGGGTGACAGAGACTATACATATATATATATAT